ACCAGTTGTCCACGTCAATGTTTTTGAAATCTTCGTGCCACCAGTCTTGCAGGAATAACGGTAGGGGTGGAGCCACCGGAATGCTATAGAAAAGCAAATGCAAATAATGCATAATGTTTACGTACCTTCACACTATCTAGCCCAACAAGATACTGTTCAATTCATTCTTACTCAAACTCGTTCATACATATGGCAGCACGGTGTGGAAGGGCTGTGGAAGAGGTGAATGGAATTGTCGTTGTGGGCCTTCGTATATAAAGGACACTGATTATCGTACTTACCTGTTCTTGTGCACGATGAAAGCCCCATACAGACCCTCTTCCTTCTGTGAGCCAAGGTGACTGTGGTACCAATGAGTCCCGGCTGGCTCCGCCTAGTGCAATGCATGTCAAGTAAATCGCACTTAGAAATCGCAATTAGTTGAAATGGGCATGGGGTAGAGCTGTGTACCGGTACGCAGTACCGATACTGTACCGGAAAAATTGATTAGGTACAGGTCCAAAATACCTAATCCCTCAGTACCGGTACTGTACCTAAACAATTTCACACCAATTTTATGCCTATTTGTGACCTCAAATGTGTAAATAGCTGGTCCACAATGGGTATCTGTGTAAGGACAGTGTGTTCATGAAAACAAAAACATCTTAGTTTTGCCTATATTTTATCTGAGCATTCGCCATAAACAAATAATAAACCTTAACTATCAAGTTTATTAATGTTTTTTTTGTTATTGAATGAGTTCAGAAGAGCATATAAATTGGTCGAATTGTTCAGGTACAGGTTCAGGTCCGGACCTGTACCTAAACCTGTGTACCTGTACCTGTACCTGTACCTAAAATTTGTTTAGGTACACAGCTCTAGCATGGGGCACTTCCATTACATAGAATTCATATTACAAAAAGGTATTTTAGACAGAACAAAAGTAAGAAATCGTAACTGCATCACATTGGTGCATCAAAGAGACATAGCTGCGCTATACAACCGTAAATATTTATTTATAAGTCTAAAAGTATTCCTCTGAGTCTAAAACTTCATTTCAAACGTTAGCGGTTTTATTGGAACTTACCCTGAACCTGTAGGTGAAACTGTGCATGGGTAGGATGGGACACTGCGTGACGTAAGGCACCCCGTCCATATATGGCACACCGCGCATGTACATGCCGTGGAAGTGGAGTGATGTGGCTTCTCTCAGCAGGTTGTTAACGACAGTAACCACCACCTGATTGGGATTAAGAACATTTTCAAGAACAGCATTCAAAAATGCTGCATGTAAACCGCTAATGAACTATTACAAAGCTCTTCTTCGTTAGAAAGAATTCACGATACATTACAATTATGCATCTGAGTCCAGTCGTTTGCATATTAGATCGATTCCAAGATGACCAATTATATGAGTCCTACATCGTCACCACACGCCACTCAACCAGCTATTCTCATCTTGGTCGCCGGCCTTGTTTTTTTAAAGCATTTCTTGTTGTGAAGATGGTAAAATTAGTTCAATGGTCAATAGACGTTTCGAAGTTGAAGGAAAGATTGATTCATTGAGTGTTTGCGTTTACCTGCGCTCCTTCCATGACCTCCAGTGTGGGACCGGGGAACTGGTCGTTCACGAGAATTACGTTTCGCTGCACTCCATCAGCTGTGATGGTCTCATTCACAGGAACTATGGATCCTTCCTTATCTCCCGCCCTTTCATCTATGGCCAGCAGGCTTCCGTTTGTTAAAATCTCGACCTGTTGGAATGTTGGTTAATGCGAAATCATTTATTTCTGCACTGCGACATATTAGATAAACCTGCCACCAGGTTTCAAAAAGATAGAGTTTTCTGAAATGTGATAAACAAGAAATCAGAGATTTCAGTCTGTTGGGAAGTAGATATAGTTCGAATTACAACATGGAATTAGAATGCACAGTTACTCATACTTCATATGACTGTATGGTGAAACTTACTCTACTATTGCTCCTTAACGCAAAGCATACTGGATCAAACCCGGTCAATCAACAGAAATACTATCTCCGCCCTCTCACTTTGGAACCCGAACATACAAACCTAGCTCCACCTAAAACAAGACTTCCGTCCCGGAAGCAAGAGACATTACATGGTTTTAAACAGCCTTTTTGATAGTAATCATAGTATAGAGTTCAAAAGGAGAATTCAAAATGGCGGTCTTACCCGTGTGACCTTGCCGTCACTTCCGGTGTGCATCATGGTCCGGGCGTAACGAACCACCAGGGTGAACTCGCACACGTCATCAGCGCACCTCTGCGTAGTTGCCATGGAAACGCAGAGGCAAGCAAGAAGAAGTGCACCGAGCAGATTCATGATTCCTTAGGGAGTCTACCTGAAAAAGAAGCAAAATCACTTCGCATTCATTTACGATTTCAGTTGCAAAAAAGCATTCAAACTATTGTAAAAATTAAATTGACTGTGCTTTTCATACATAGTTTAGTGTCAAACATCTATCAAGAGAAGTAGTAATGTCTTCAATTTCCTGCTAGATGCTGGTGCCTTGTGTGAACCAGTATATATATATACAATAATGATGAAAACAGGAAATTCATAAAGAATATATCAAGGAGGTATGAGATCTTCAATTTCTTTTTATTTTTTTGTATAAGTGGTTTTATTTGCGTTCTCTCTCAACAATTATTTGACTGTCAAAGTTGATTGATGCTTTTTCACGCACCACCTTACCTGTAGAACCGTAGGCATTCTTTCAGTGGACACGCAGTCTGGATGTTTACGGGTCATTTAGAATAGCATAATGTTAGTGTGTACATCTGTATTTGGTTCATTCTTTGTTCACGTTGTTGACATATAAACAATGAAAGAATCTCCCATAACATGGTGTCTTATTTCCTTGGCCTCAATTCGAGTCCTTTTTACAGAATTAACTTTTTAAGCGTGAGAAAGAAATCTTTCTCCGTACGGCTACTGCGCTTCTAGATCTGATGTTTTCAACCACCGTTCTTTTAAGAACACTGTTGCAATCGGAGATCGCTATGTAGCTTGTTGTAGCAACATTGAATGGCATGCATGGGGTTCTTATATCAGGTAACATGGGTAAACAAATCACTGGGAAAGGGGCGTTGGTTCTGCAGCACGGTTCTTTTAACTTACCTTTCAGTTAGGGGTGTGTGAGTCTGCTTTGGTAGTTATACAGTTCAATCTATAATTCCACGAGTGTAATTAGTGCTTTGTAATCTTCACAGAAGCAAATGTCTAAACCGTTTAAAGGTAAAAGCTGAATCATTTTTAAAGCCATACATGGTCAGTATCAAAGCGAATCAGGGACTAGCCGACCCGCTATAAGTGCGATTTTGTTGCGTTACGATGATCTTCCATGTCATTGTATTGGTGATAGCTGCAGTCACATTTGTCGCATGAACGTCGTACGATCGCAAACCGATGGCATTGTCAGCTGTGCGTGCATGCATTAAACTCTCTTGTTACCGAGAAGGTTGTCTCGGAGCCTTGTTGGCGTTTGGTTCTGTCCCAGCCTCTTTGAATATCCTACATTGAAATGGTACTAGTACATGTAGTATATCGACAAATGTGACTGCGCAGTTCGGCAGGTGTTAGCCTGAGACACACAGAAGATCCTAACTGCAGATAACACTTTCGTACTAAGGGCTTAACACCACCATACACAAGTCTTTGCAACCACAAATTGTACTCCTTTACTTGATTCCGTACTTACGTAAAACTTAGAAGCAAGAAAACTTTGGGAAGAAAGAGAGAAATTGTGCCTACCTGTGTACTAATTCCAGCAACCCCGTTTTGGAAACTGTACTACTGGCGCCAAGTGCAAATAAGTTGGTTATGGCCTACGACGAAGCACAATGGCCAAGTTTTCTCCCCAGGCGACCTAAGCTACATACCGATGTACAAAGGCGTTGGTGCGCCTCCGGTAGCGTACGCTATGGGGATGACGTCACACATGTATCATGTATCCCATGAACCATATCGTCCCACGGCTGGTGAAATACAAGAGCGTCCTGGGGGATCAGTCTTGTAATACATCCGTGACCTAGCCAAAAGACAGCTCACTCGCCCGTTCATTCACTCAGTCACTCACTCTCATTCGCTCACTCACTTGCCCGCCCACTCGCTCGCTCACTCATCACGTGCACTCACTCGATCTTTCACTCATTCACCCAATCTCTCACCCATTCATTCGCAAACTGGAAAATTTAGGGGAAGGATTTAGAAAAAGGGGCAGTTACCGCCTCTAAGAAAAGGCTACGATCTTTCACAGTACCCACTCATTCATTCACTCACTCATTCACTAGCTCGTACATTTACTCAATCAATCATTCACGCCCTGGAAAATTGAGGCATGGATTTAGAAAGAAGGGATGGAGGCAGTCAGAAAAATGTTAGATTTTTCACAGTACCAAAGCGATTGTTTACGCCCGCCACCATTGTTTGTTTGATCCTTACCGATTCTCTTTAAGAGTTTGCTCACCTGGCGCACCGTGGCGCATGCGCGGTCTGTAACAACCTGTTTATGAATCAAAAGGTGGGAAGAGGCTTTTAAAGGAAATAATTCCGACCTGTGTTGAAAATGGACTGCAACACAAGAGACCTCTCAGGGATAATCTGTTTTCATCAGTGACACGCGTGTCTGAAATTTTAACGAACCCGTCTATCCATTTTTAGCGTCTGGCAAACTAGAACTTTCATTGGTGACATGGAACAGATGTAGGTCAAATGTCATGCCTTAGAAAAATAGGCCTAGGGTCCTTACTATATACAATGTTCAGCAGACCACGAACGGTTGTGTAGTAGTGCAGACTAGTGTGGAGAAAGCAAGGTGGTAACATAAGTTGAAGAATGCCGTACTTTGTGAACTTTTATTATATTGTGTTACTCATTGGTATGGTCACCAAGCGCTTAAGACGGATACCAATTCTGAGTGCTTTTAGTAATGTCTCTCTGGTTTAACTACAGCTCATCTGGAACCATTGGAGGTCAAGATAGTACAGTGCAAATGAGAAAATGATGCATAGAATATGGATTAGAAGGAGAAATAGGAATATAAAAATTAAGCTATATAACTTTATAATCAAGTAACCATTCGTAAGAGTTTACATTTGGGTCTCTTTTGCCCACCACGTGCAGGGATGTACCCCGAGCACCAGTGGTTGCATTACCCTCCCAGCAGTCATCACTACCCTGTACCAAGTGGGACCATTTCCCATCAGCCACCACGGCCACATCAACGACCTTGGGCCACCTGACCCGAAACAGGACGGCCCGATTTGAGGCAAGATGCCCGTTTTGGGGTCGAAACACCTTGCAGCCAGACGTCCAGGTTTTAAACGTTTTTGGATAGGGCAGACATTTCGGTTTACTCTTTTTACAGCGAATGATGTAAGAGCAATGTTTGTGGTAAGACCCGTCTGTAGACCCGATGTCTTCTTTGGCCCATATTGTCAGACTGTGCATGCCCGGTTCAGGGCATCTGAGGTAAAATGTCGCGCATGCGTCCTCGGGTTCGGTAAAGACGTACTCATTCCATCGAGAGTCTTCCCCAAAATGGCACATGAAATGCATCCTGCTTTCAAACTCAAATTGAATTTTGACGTCACCTTCGGGAACGTCGACTATGGCTTCCGGATGACTTGTACCAGAAATGACGCCATCGAGAAGGAAGTGACCCGGCCCCCATATTGTCCTCCCGTTGCGTGATGGGAAGGGTGCACTTGTTGCTTTGGGTATCTTGCACTGTATCAGATACTCGAGAAGAAATTCGTGGCTTCCGGATGACGTTCCTTTCTTGGCGAAGATGGTCAACCGGAATTTGCCTTCTGTTGGCGGAACGACGCGAAAGCGCGCCTCCATGTCGACAATCTCGTGCAGGACACAGTTCTTGATTTCCGTAGGTTTCTTCTTCCCATCAAACGATTTAAAATGCACCACAAACGACATGGGTTCGTGGAGACTTAGCTTTATAGTGGCTGAACCGGATTTGGTTGGCACGCGCGCTTTTGAGTGGCTGAGGTCAGACATGCGCAGACCAAGGTCAAAGAAAGCAGGTTTCAGAAGAACCCATGACTCAAACATCTCTACCGAGACAGGGTCTTCCAGGAGCTGCCAAGAATCATCTAAAGGGAGGTGGTCAGCTACAAGCAACTCTGGATCTGTTAAGAAGTAGTGTTCCGTGTAGCTGAATACGAATGTCTTTGAACTTATGTCCGAGTGACCGGCAGCCCATGTACAGTCTAGGAGGTACCAAAAACCGTTAATTTGCACGGCGTTCCAGGCATGGTTACTGGCTTCCCGGAATTTGGCGCCGACCACGTAGTTGATTCCTTTGGCTTTGCCGGAGATGGTCTTGCATGGGATGTCAGCCAACCTAGAAAGAGAAAAAAAAGAAGAAATCTGAGATTGTAGACTTCCAGAAAGTATGCAATCCTCGGCTTCCTGAATTCCCCCATGTTCCCACCTGTGATTCCTGCTGGCTCTTGACCTGACACGTTTGACCACCTGTCATTCTGGCTGTCAATCTTTCTCATCCCACGTTCTATCAACCTACTCTGCTCGGACAAAAAGTACGAAAACCCACAGCTCAGCCACCCAAAACAATACTTAGAAGAAAATGTATAATTTCATTACTCGTCATCTACTAGTTGCACAAATTGGAAGGTTTTCGGTAAAAGGAATTGCTTTTAATGCAGAGGACCTATTTTCGTTACAATGAGTGATGTCAGAATTACCTGCACAGCTCAGTAAACAGGTCAGCGTAGCCCTGACAAACAGCCGTCCTGGTCCTGAACACGGCTTCTGGTGACGAATCCCCGTATGTTGTACCAGTGACGTAGCCGCTGACGTCATATTTAACGTGTGTAGCCATCCACATGAAAAGGACACGTATTCTCTCCAGTGGCGATTTGGTCGGACGAATCAGATAGTCCACGAGCGAGCGCATAGAGGATTCTGCGTGCTCAGGGGTCTAGAAAAGGAAGAACAAAACGTCATGAAACTCATATCATGCAGTTTAAATGCATTACAAATACCACAATTAACACTGCATGATGATTAGTTATGCGAAATGACCAACCGGTCATCAACGAACATCATATAAGGGCACTGAGTAAACAAGAGGATTTCTTCAACCTCTTTCTATAACAAATAATGATAAAAGAATACCTGCTTGGCATAGTCGTCTAGCTCCTTGAAGACAGACAAGTCTGGGATGAGCTCCGTCTTCTTCAGACGTCTTGTGATCTCTGGCTGTTCCACCATCTTAGATGGTACGGAATTGATTCCTTTCTTATCGTCAGTGCCAGTCTCTTCATCGCTCTTCATACCTGTGTTATTTGCTGACATCTTAATTTCTTTCATATTCGGTTTTTCCTTGTCTAGTTTCTCACAACTTCCTGTAGCCTGGTTCTGAAATGCTCTAGAGTTTTGTATGGCCTCAATGTCCACAGCACTGTCACCATTCAATTTGTCGACACTTTTGTCAAAAGATCCCCTATCTGCAGGTCTAGATAATTGTGTGGTGCTTGCAGTTGTGCTGTTCGGTTTCTTTGCTTCAATAGTGTTATTTTTGCTCCCTTCGTTCTGTATAGCTTTACTTTGATCTGACAGTCGCAGTTTCTTTGTTTGTGACCCTGTCTCTTTCACATGTGTCCTTGTATTCTTGGGTGTTGAAGTCCTGTCAGAATTTTCCGGTTTGCAGAGACTTTCTATTGAGTCTTGACTGTTAGCACCGGAAATGCTCGACCACCTGTTATTCTGTTGTACATGTACCCCATCTTGCGGCCGCTTTTCATATTGCACCAAGGTGTCAGCACTGGTGCTGGTATCTTGTGTCCGATCTAAATGTGACACCTGTGACTGAATGCTTGCAATGGAAACATCGTCCTTGCCTGTGTCCTTTGTCTTTGGTGTCGTTCCATGTTGGCCACCCCTTTCAAGAATTTCTGGTTTTGGTTCTTCTGTTACTGGTGGTCGTTTCGTTGTGGGTGCAACTCTCGCTGTTTTGACGACCACAGCCGACGTGGTAGAAGAACAAGACGACCCCATGTTGACCGTACGTTTACCAGACAGTTCTTCTTTACAACAGAAACACACTACGATCCAATAAAAACCCGTGGTCGCCAGTGAGTTTTGCACACTTTTACTCACAACCGAAGAAACACGTCGTGACAACGACCAGGAAGCATTTCTGTCAAGCTTTCTGTCAAAACCGCATCTACACGCAAAAGCAGTCCAAAGTCCAAACAAACGTAATCTCTTTTATTTATATAAGTACCATTGTAAGCGTCAAACACTATAAATAAAAGAGAAGGCCTAAAGAATGACAAACGATTAAAACAATAATATTTGGACCAAATGATCAATGGTTTACGTTTGTTTGAACCGTTGCGTGTGGATGGAGCACCTGCGTTCTCGTGCCTATGGCGACGTGGTCCCAGGGGAATATTTAATTATCTGCCATTCATGACAGGCCGCCTTTCATAATGGGTACGCCCTCGGGGCAAATGTTTGTTTTGTGTTTGCTTACTTGGCGCCCATGCAAATATCTCTCCCATAGAGCTCCCAGCTAACAGGTATGACACAACAGTTTGCTTATACTCTTCTCTCATTCGTAATCGTTGCCTCATTTGTACAAAAGAATATTAGTAGTAGTCGTTTCTTAAATTCAGACGACACGGACAAGTCATAGTTTGAGACAAAAAAAACTTTATTAAATGGTATGAGAAATAAACTAACGTGTCTATATGGTTAATTCAAGAGCTTCTGTTAGCTTGCCTGCGCACAAACCTACAAGGTTCTATACTGAGTACAGTAACACAATAAACCGCTACTGACTGTCAATCATAACTAGCAATTCGGCCAATAGGAGAATTTGGTCACGTACTATTGGCAGATGCGTCCGCCACGGTCTATAGGTTATACCACAATATACTAAGTCTTAGTAATCTAAGCATATAGTCCTATCTTGGCTAAATGTCATTACAAAACTCACTGTCTTTAGAAGACAATTTAAAGTGCTCCTAATATGGAGCGTACATTTTTCTGGAATCCTAACTGGATTCGAGATAGGTGATCATCCAATAAAATGAATAAGCCAATACAACACATATATTGGATGATCACTGTACCATCATGATTGTCAAATATCCAATGTGAATATCTAAACAACCAGCATTATATTCAATTCAATAGAATACCGCTAATCGAACGCAGTATCCCAACTAGATTTGGTTCCATGTTGATGATCCTGCAACAAACTGTCATTTATACGTTAACCTTAAACAACCTATTCACTAGTTACAGCAAGCGGTAGAACTACGTTGTTGAAGCTAATCTACTTGGATAGACTCAGCAAAACTTAACAAAAAAATCTTTGGTATAGTTGAAGAGAAAAATGGCACACTCTGGATCAAATGCATGCTGGGATCCCGTGACGTCAGAAAGTTTGGTGACGTCACTCCTGGGCACAGTGGACGTACCGGAAACTGTTCACATCGCTGAGGAGATAGCGGAGGAACCAGCGGAAGTTGTTCAGCACCTGGTAGTCACGTGACACGCGGAGGTCGCCGGTTGTGTCTTTCTCGGCAGCGGTCATGACGTCACTTCCGTCGACGTCTGGGAGACTGTAGCACATGTGCTGAGGCTGCGTGGGACGAAAACGGACATAATTTTTATGACAAAATCAAGATGCTAACAACACATGACTTTTGGGTCAGTCTCACCGATGATAAGAATTTTGTTTTTGAGAAACTTCGACTACTATGGTTGAGCCCTGACCTGCGCAGTAACCCTGATCTTGATGATCAGGTGCTCCAGAAGGTCGAGGCTGGTGCGGGTGGAGTTCATCAGGTGGAATGAACCAGTACCAGTCTGTTCCGCATGGCGGCGCTCGTCGCGGCGAACCTCGCTCAAGATAGGCTTGGAACGTCAGCAGATCCGCATAGATCCGGCCCATCTTAGCCTCATCCTGTGAGGAGAGATACCCACATGCAACCGTTGGTCACTGACATAACGTTGTCAATGATACACTAGACTTCGTCTTTCATAGGATTTGTTGGAACCTACCCCTTAACCCTTAAAATCCTCATGCATTCACATATGACCTTGCCATGCTTCTTTCATGCTGCTATACATTTAAGGACAATCTCCAGGCAGATGTGTTGTTGTTCCACCTCCTTTTGTTCGCCCTTATGGTGGTGAGGTTTGTCTATCTTCAACCAGTTCACAAACCGTGCCACCTGATAGACCCCCCGCCCCTGAGGCGTTGACAAAAAAGAGCAACACTTCTGCATAAAGAATGACCGCATGCACGGTAAATTCCCCCCACCGTCACCATAGTCAGAGTGGTACTGGTACCGAGATCTCGAGTGTTCCAGGGCAGTACCCTGGGGGCATGTCCTCTAGTGACTCGCAGCTGCACTTCACCCAATCTTCTATCTTCGTGAATGAATGGCATTTTGCATTAAAAATGTGGCATATCAAAATCTTCCATACAATTGTTATTGCAATCGGTCTATGCGATTCATGCATCTGACAAAAATATACTTAGTCATTATTACACAAACAATAAAACATTACAATAGAAAATATAGTTAGCATCTTTAAGATAATATTATATAGTCGTTTTGTTATTTTCTCCAACGTTTTTATTGTGTATCACATTTTAAGTTCGGGTAGTCTGAAAATCTAATTAAAGGTGAAAAACTACTACGTATACATCTATAGTGTGGTGTATTGATTTGGATTAATTAATATTGTGCTCATTGGTACTGTAAATTGGACGTAGTACTGTAACAGTAGCTGGAAAGTTTATGCCATACCCCTAAGTTTGTCCAGTTCACGTAGGGCATGCGCAGTCCGCTCACCAAACCTTCCAGGGTGAAGTCATGGCCAAAACATCCGGAAGAGGACTGCGGGTATTGGTCCATCTGATCACGTGACAAAACAAAGTACTACGTCATTTCCGATTTCGTAGTTTAATAACAAAGTTAGAAGTACTGCGATATTTCTGTGCATATAGTTTCGCAATGCATAAAGATAAAGCTTACTTTTAACCATTGTGATACATCATAATAACATGTAAATGATAAAAAAAATTCTCTGACAAATCGTGAGAAATTTCTGGAAACCATTTTTTGTGGACGCCTCTGGGGTGGAGCCGAAGATTGCACAAAAACGTTGATTACTTTCTGACTCTAATATACATAGCCAGAATACCTAGATGTTATACACCAACAATGCTACAACATTTTGTACCTGTCGGCCACAGTAATTACTATTCGGCTCCTCCCCTGAGGCGTCGACAAAAAAGGGGACACTACTTACAAAGGCATAGTAGGTCGCGTTGGCGGAGAAACCTAGCCGGATGACTTGTCTGTGCATAGTCGAGAAGAGCTGACAGGGGGTCTGGGTGGGGAAACCCCCGACTTCAGCCATGTCGTCACCCCTGGGGACACACCTGCCTGACACCGTCGTCATAGCAACGACGATGCACATGACGGCAGCCATGACACCTGACGGAAAGGTATAGTATGAGTAAAGCTTCAAGAATGTTGCATTTGGTACTTGAGTCATAGGAAGAGCTATTTCTCGGAAGGATACCAATACGTGGCACACGGAAGAATAACAATGCAATGCTTTTTGTGATTGCTGAACATCAAATTATCATAATATTTTTTCCTTTCAGATCTGATTATATATCATATAAGAAAGTTCTGAAAGAAATTTGAAAAACTGAAAAAGTTGTGATAACGCCGGCTTTCGGCAGAACTTTCTATTCTAATTATAGTATACGTATTCTTTCAATTAGTGAAAAAAGTCTACTTTCATATCGAACCAAAAATGCTTTTGTGACAGAAAGAAACACAGAAAGAAACTGTATTGAGGAGGAAAAAGAAGGATCCCACTCCTTCGAATACCGCGATTGGGTTTTCGGATTAGAAAAGGTAGTTTTCTTTTTAGCTGTAAGTTGAGGTAGAATTTGGTGGCTTCGTAAAAAACTCGATTCTTTCGAGTCACTCAGAAAAGCAAAAAAGGCAGGCTTGAACACCAGTACAAGCGTTTGAAAACACATACAAATACAAAATACAACTTATACGTACTTGTCATCTTCACTGGTAACTGCATGATGCTTTCTGTTAACTTCTTGTGATGCTGATGACGATTCTACAACAGATTCAAGTCGAAGTGCCGTTCTTGCTGAACCGTGGCCGTTTTTATACAATTTTAGAAGTTTCGATTTTAGTAAAATCGAGTTTAAAATAGTACACCAGTCACGTAACTTAAAATAATAACCAGGTAATACGTACTTGCAAGTGATTTGTCATCGACAGTTATGTCCGGTCTTCTTCTTCGTTGTTTCCTATGGCAAGTTTTGTTGTATTGTCTTTTATATCCTTGTGATTGTATTATATCCAGCAGTATTCCGTATTCCTTACAGAAACCACCACAGGCTAGTACTTTGTTATGTATGCAGATTACTTGGAAAAACACACCAAAACTTTTTACCATACATGTTTACCATACATCGGATGTTTCTATGCATTTTTAACGAAATGTATACAAAATGTGGACTAAACTTATTCTTAAATCGTAAAACTGTGCAGAATTAAGACCTTCTCTTTGGTTTCCTATCTTAAGATGGTAATGCATTCCATATATATGACAAGATGCTATGATAAGACGTAAAAATGGCAATAGCATGACATCGTGTCAAAATATACACCGTACGACAAAAATGAAACAAGGATGCTTCAAAACCCCCACCCCCAATCATAATAGTTTCCCTTGAGGCGACTCATTTGGTCGCCTTTGGAGTTTCCCTTAGTAATACACCAATCTTCAACCTGATATCCTGTTCATTTCTTAGTTGTGTTTACTTCTAAACTTGAGACGTGCCATACTACTCTTGTTTATTGTCCGTCAAAGCAAGCCATTTCATGGTTGTTATCGTCCTACAACATCGCCATTGCCGCCTATAATCAACGAAGTACGCTCATGGACTAGTTCAACAAGTCTATAATTGTACTGTTTGTACCCTTGCTTGCGCTAATGTGGCGTAAATGATTATATGCCGTGTTGTCGGTGATATTTGGTGGACAATAGAGGGGTGAAAGGGTTATCCCAACGACATAATGAGCTTTAGAACCCGATCAGTCCCTAGTATTGTTCTGAAAATGTCAGCGGATCCAGGGGTGGTTTCGCTAAAGTTGTAATTTGCCGAGTGAAATAGAGGGGCTTTTTGGGCACTGGTCCTTCAAAAATCAGTTTTATTTGTAGCGTAAAGTTAATTTCACACGACCAATGGTGTGTTGTAACCCTTATTGTCCTGTCATGTTCTCAGAACGGTCGTGATGCTTGAAAACGTAAGAAACGATGGGATTTCTCTCAAGTCACTGAGGTCTAAAGTTGTGAAAAGCTGTAGCAATAATGGAAAATTGGCTTCTTTCTTACACTAGCTAAAACCATTTTTATGTGATTTGCGATGTTATTCCAAGATTAATCTTAGATTTAATTATTATTTTGTACTTTCTTGATGGTATGGAATGAATACCTGAATGACATTTTCGGCAGCCACAAAACGCTGCGACCAAAACCTTACATTTTTTTCAAGTTCAAAAACATAATGTTTAATTATAGTAGATATAATCGTGATGGGTCATTATATTGTGGTAATTATCAATTATGCTGTACTTTTACATCTTTTACAAGCTCATCAATATTTTAGGTACCTTGTTAAGACAAGCCACGATTTTTTAAAATCCTTTTTAGGCCTTAAGAGTTTCAGACAGTGTTTATGTATTGTAGACACGACATATGTCCACCATTGTTCCTTCTTGAAACTGAGACACAAGGCATCACTGACCCAAGTAATTGGAGATGACCAAACGGTAACGAAAGTCTTTCACTATCAATCTAAATCAGACCTCTACTCTAGGTCAGTTACAGTAAACACTATTCATAAATCGTCCATGGCATAGATAGTCAACGGTAGCTGCCATAGTTTATAAATTCATAACCTGTGATCCCAACTTGTCTGCAAAACACCAAAAGCTTACAACTATCTATGAGGTGACTTTACCGGTTGACCAACACAGATACAAATACATGAACACAGTCATGACTCACAGAAACTGTCCTACATGCAGGAAGAAACGGACAGGAAATCGATGATTCAACTTGACCAATGGAAAAGATTCCATGCAATTCAATCAACTGGCTAGCCAATCACGTTCTGCCTGTCATCCAACGTTAACTACTAGTACTACTCGAAATAGAAATGTCTAAATTGCAAGTATTTTCAAAATTGAACATAATGGAATTCCTTCAAGTCTTAGTCATCTTGGTAAAGTTTTGCAAGCATTTAGAAAATTGAAAATAATGGAATTCTTTCAAGTCTTAGTCATCTAGGTAGAAATTTCAGGGAGATAGCTAGTTTTCCAATACCAGGAAATTTTTAAGTGGTTTCCATTATGTTACTGTACGTTTCTAATCAAGGGGGGTGCTGTTGTATATTAGTCACTATTATATATTGTTGAGCGACAGTATTGAAGAAACATGAAATCATACCACAAAATAGTGTTCTGTATTTCTACTGTACAATAGAATAGTTTCAAGCACCTTCCTTTTTCATGATACAGCGAAAGTAAATGAAGTGTAAATTTGGTCTTTTAATTCTATAGTATCAAAAATAGATAGCTCAGTTCTTTTAAAATTTGGGACACAGTGTATTTATTTCCCACATATGAGGCACATGAATAGTGAAAGAAGATGGACACAGAGAGAAAACATGACACAGCATATACAGGTTATACAGGTTAAAACATATTCTGTAAGTTGGAATAATTATGTACATTGCACTAACTTACAACTATTTCCTCAGTTTCTATGCAGCTGTAGTTTTAAACATGCAGCCTACTGCTTTGCTTAGTATACATGTAGTATATCAGCATACATATAACACAATTCTTGGACATAAAGACTTACAACATACATAAACATGTAGCAGCTAGAGACAATTGATAGCAATGTGTCTTATGACTCTTATCCCTCCACATATATAAAATATTGGAAAAGCTATGCAAAAAAAATTCAGGTTAAATTTTATTTCTGTTGGCTTGGCATGTCACATTTATAAAATATGCACATGAAATGTGACAACATTTACATCAGGTAATTCAATTTGCAAAATCCTTGTCAAAGATGACAGATTGGGCAATATTTTTGTCTGACATAATTAAGCATCAAGTGGCGGAAAGACAAACCCTGGCTAGAACACTGCATCTAAACTATCGGAAGGATTGAGGGGTTTTAGAAGAATTTGACCCCCTCACTGCCCATAAGTTCTGCCTTTCTCTCTAGTTGTAACGTTTCTAGAGCCCTCGTCAGCAGCCAGGATTCCATTCCATGGAATTCTGAAAGAGATCAACATTCCTTTTGGTCATGATCATTGCATTCATGTACAATGTACAAAAAGGGCTGTGTATTTAAAACACATGTGCCGGTACACATCAGAAATAGCCCCTATTTTACCTGCACCTGCAGTAAGGTGCATATACACACAGTATTTCGAACCCTGTCTGGTATACCTGTACCTGTACCTGAACAAGTAAAACACTAGTGGAGTGTCACCATTCTTTTCACATTAAATAGATTGCATCTCAAAGATAACAATTGAGTACTTGAAAAGGAAAACTTGTTTTCAGATTAAGATGTGTAAAACCTCACACAAAGACTACAATTTACCACTAAAGATGACAGTTGGCCAGGCTAAATCTATAGACAGAAGTTCAAAATTACCTTGATTTGAAGTGTCGTCCCCATTCACCAGTTCATATGTGGTACATACAGTGTTGTTCATGCCATTTGATGTAACCTAATGTTTGGTAGGAAATAACAGAAAAACAATGTACATGTCAACAACAACGATAACTAAATAATGCTTAAGCACAGAATTTGGTTAATGAACTTTGAAAGCTATTCAGCCTTAAAAGTGTGGTTATCTCTCTCATAATACAAGCACTATATTTACATGTACATATAAACACTGCACTGTGATTGGTCAACACATCCTACTCACCCATTGGTAGATGATCTTGCCCCATTCCTCTGGTGTTCTCCACATGATCAGACACCTGTTTCTTTTCTTTGGGTCGGTCCATTCTATATTACCTAGGCAACAACACAAGAAAAAATAACCAAAGAAATTGCATAAGTTGCATCTAAATGAAAGGCAATACTATACATATACACTGACATGTATAGTATGTATAATACCATTGTGGAATTTCTTACCAAGAGTATTTTGTGTTTCTGTTAAAGCTTACCTTTTTTCCTGAGTTCTTCAAGCACAGTGTAGACTGCTTCTAATGGCAACTTTCCTGGTAGATCGTTAAGATAGTACACCACCAAAGTATATAATTATACATTTCCTTATAACTATATAACTAATATACAAACACACTGTATATGCTACGTCAATGAAGGTAAGGCATCCAGGTGATGAAAAACATGTACATTTGCAAAACAGTTGCTCAACTGCATAAGCTAGTTCACACTTTGATGTGTGCATGTGCAGTGTGATGCATTTTGGGTCATCTGTCATTTTCTATGTATTTCCAGTGCCTTCAACTTTGACATATCATCCACAATGCATCACACCACATGTGCTCACTTGAAACTGTGAACTAGCTTGTACGAGTCCACTGCCAGATCTAGACCACATGAAGGATACTGCCTATCTTTTGGTTGTGGAAGAGAGGACTGTCCTGTGCATCTGTGACATCCAGGCTGTACTGTCTCCTGTGTCTGCAGTAGGACAGCACCAGCAAGCACCAGGCCTCTAGCTGCTTAGCCTGGGTGTCCTTGTTGGGCTGTATGCTAAAAGAGAAAGCAAGTGGAAAGGTAGCATTTTTGTTTAGTGAGACATTATTAGATGTTAAACAAGGACAACAATAGTAACAACAACATGATTTAGCAAATGCGTAATGTTTACTTACACTATTGTCTATCTCAGTAAACGTCTGCTCTGTTTATTCTTCCTCAAACACATTCATGTATGGTGCCTGGCCCCTCCAATTTGCTACATAATGGCATGCACCTCGCACAGTGTGTCATCATAAATGTCATTGACCTTATTTGATTTGACAAGAAGATATGGAAACGTCACCTGACAAATTGTTTTAAGCCATTGTCCAATGATTCTAAGAATTTTGTGCTCGCCTGCATAAAACCATGTAAAATGACACACCCAACATATTTTTCACACGGAACAAGTTTGCTACCGCCCCCCTCCCCAGTTAGTTGGAGATTTCGGCCATCGTTTCTCATTTAACTAGAAAAGACAGCTACTAAAACTAACAAAATACAATTCATATATATCCCTTATAGCTGTAATATTCACAGTTTTGTGTAAAAGTTTACAGAAATCGCGACTTACGTGAAAAACGGAGGAAAGTTGTACTGCCACGGCCACTGAAACTCCGCCATCTCGGATTCCTAAAATTCACGCGAGAAAACGCGAGACCTGTATTTTCATCCTCAATTTTCACCAAAATTGAGTCAAAACTATCGAAATTATGACATTACATAAACCTCTGTAGATATATGAACATTTTATAGCGTCATAATATCAGTGAAAACTAATTTTTAAGCCAAAATCGCTTGACAAAATTTATACCACGTGACTTTCCCTCAGGATCAACCTCTGACCTCACCCTACATTCGTTTGGACGTGAAATCAAGTTTTCTGGAAAAATATGGAAAAATAAGAGAAATATCGTCTTCTCTTCGACTTCCATATACCTACCAAGATTTTTTTCTCAGCAGCGCGAAGAAATAAGTAAGTATTCGTCCAGTAGGCCTTTCTGTTTTAGAAATACAACGTTACAAAATATGTTATCCTGCACTTTTTAGTTTGGGGATGGGGGTGGGGGGCACGGCTATATTTATAAAATGGTTAAAACATGCCATTTACCGAAATATGCTGAATTTTTTCAGGGCTTCATTGTGATACAAACCAGCGTTATGTAATATGTGGAAAGTCCAGAGGATATGACAATATTTTGTTGACGAAATTTATAATCATGTTGCTATCATATATCACATAACATTAGGCTCAGATTCTATACGTGCTCTAAGTTAGTGCACGTTTACAAAATATGTGTGAGTTTACTATTTTCATGCTAAATCAAAGTACATTTAAGCACATTTAAGTTAACTTTAATCAACTTTAATGTTGTATGAAAACAAATTGTTAACGAATTGACACTCAAACTTTAACCTAACATCTGCTTGGAGATTAAAAACCACACTTTCTGTCGGAGACTGTAATTCAGTTTGACTTTACGGTAACAAAATTGCACCATCTGAGGAAAAATGTTCACGGAACTTAATGTGAATATCTTTTGTAACAGTATTAATTTGACAGCACAGAAGTGACTGTGGAAACAGTGAACATAAAAGTACCACTCAATCAATCAAATCACTGGAAATCACAAGCCATGATGTTGTTCATGTCTATACAGGAGTTGAATATGATTACGCTGTCCAAGAAGTTGAAGCAGGCGAAAGAGGGAAAACCTGTGGAGATCGCTCAAGGGCCTGACAAGAGGGCCTCCATTCGGGATAAACTACTCATCAAGGGTATGGACTTATTATAGAGTACTTAGGAACTGTAGATTGTTTGAGCTGCCAGTCCTTGAAATCCTTTTTTCTGCATACATGTATCTGTAACATTGAAAATTACCCGTACCAGACAAATTTTACCTGTACCACTAAGAATTGAGGATGTATGGATCAGACTAAAAACTGTCCAGAAACTATTGCCATTATTAATTATTTTTTTTATACATGTACTATAACAGTCAATGCAACAGTCAATGCAACAATTAAAAATCCGCATATATGTATATTACAGTATAAACCTAATACATGGACATCTTACATGCCGCTGGTATTTTAAGCCCTAACAAAATGTTATGATATCTTATGTATAATTACAGAGGTTCAAGAAATGGAGTCCAACCTACCACGTAAGTCTGAGAACAATACTGACATATTTCATATTTCTGGTTTGCATACATTCTCTGTTTCAGTGTTTCCAAATACTTCTTAATTTTATGATGTACAATGTTACAAAATTTAAAAATCTACTATTTTCAACCTCCACAGCAACCTGTAAAGTGAACTTTGATGACCCCAACAAACTACATCAGTTCAACATTACTATTGCTCCAGGTAGGAAAGTTGCTGTTAATGTGTTAGGGTGGTTTCCCATCTACAAATCCTTAATTTCAAGTCAATCCATTAATCTAAAAAGTGGCATGAATCAAAGTTAAAATGCTCTGGATTTGTTTCAGATGAAGGTTTTTGGCAGGGAGGGACTTTTGACTTTGACGTAGATGTTCCAGAAGATTACAATATCCTGGTGAGCTGTTTATATTGTATATTAATAGTAGTTTTCTACTGAGTGACAAGCATTAGGGCTAGAATTCATTTTGCAATGTTACTAGTATTGGAGGCTGGTTCCCATGTTGTTAAAGACCCTGAGCTCTTATTGGACTGATTTTCATAGTGATAAAAAACCCTGAGCTCCTATTGGACCGATTTTGATAGTGATGAGCTCCGATTGGTAGTTCTGGGAATGCTGAGGTAGAGGTATGTAGCTAGGTATATGAGAGATTGTGTAACACTGCCTAGCATGATGTTCTATGTTTTATTTTTGTCCACAGCCCCCAAGAGTGCAGTGTAACACCAGGATATGGCACCCAAACATAGCTGAGAATGGCGACATTTGTCTTAGGTAAGGTTGTATTCATTCTTGTTTTTTTGGCAACGCCTTAGGGGTGAGGCCAAAAAGTTGTACATTATTTAGAAGTAGCTGAAAATGTTAAAGTTCTTTACTTCCTGGAAGTATTTGTTTTGTGTAGCTGAGCTGTGGGTTTGTGTCTATGTTTTTCTGGACAGAGTAGGTTGACAAGACATGGGTGGGAGAAGATTGACAGGCAGAATGACATTAGGTCAAAGGTCTCAGGGAATCCGGAAGCCGAGGATTGTACTCATCCCAGAAGTTAAAAATCTTTCATTTCTTTTTCCAGTTTGCTTAGGGAAACATCATTAGATGCAACTGGGTGGTCTCCAACACGGACCCTCAAGGTAATTATTATGTTATGCCTTGTTTACCATATAATGAAATATCCTTAACCTTCTATTTGCTAAGATAAGACTTTTGGATAAAATTTGTATTGGTTACAGAGTTAGATAGCAGGAAGATGGTTACAGGTAAGCCAGTGTAATGTTTTATGTTTAATGTGTACAGAGATTTTAGTAAGTGCCTTGAAATTTTGCTCTTGTACAATAATGTATTTGCTTCTATATGGAGGGATGTATTTTAATGTTGTTTATGAAACAAGTTTTGAATCATTTGTTGTCTCTTTTACAGGACGTTGTGTGGGGTTTAAATGCACTATTTTATGTAAGTATTAGTCTTGTTCTTTATAACATATCCACCAAAATGACCAAATCCTCCTCTCTATTAGTGTTAGACTCAATGTTAAATTTTTAGTTTGACTGTCTTAGTAAATGAGCTTAGAATCTAAAGGTTCTAACTGTATTTTTTTTCTCAGGAACTTTGTGACTTCGATGACCCTCTCAATCTAGAAGCTGCAGAGCACTGGCTTAGGGATAAGGTAAGTCCTTCACTTTATGTGTTTTAAATTTAACCTTCTTCCTGCTGAAGTACACAATTGGCACCAAATTTGTATCGTTTATAGGGTTAGGCAGGAGGGAGAGAGTTTAGCAGAAAAGTTGGGCTAGATATCATCCTTATTACATAATATTAGTTTATATCTCTAGGTGAAATGTGTTTGTGATGTACAGTTTTTGGATATGAATCATTGGTAGATATGGCTATTGTGTGCAGTAAAGTGTTAGTGTTATTCTCCAAACTGTTTTGAAATGTGCCTTGTGATTTTTTTGTCTAATGTTTAATATATATGATCTACAATGTTTTGTGTAGTTTGTTCAACACAGTCAACTTGAGATAATGGACAATTTCAAGCAAAACAAAATTTAGTCAAATTTTTGAAAGCGGTTCATGCAGCGCAGGCGAAGCGCGTTCGATTTAGTCTATGGAACATTTGGAAGCCCGTGTGATAACCAAATAGAACCCTGTGTGATACCGCTAGTTATCACATGGGCCGGAACACCAGTATCGAACACTATCACAGCCAAGGTATGACATAAACTGTCAAAGAAGATGTTTTGTTTTGTTTGTTAACTGTATATTCAAGTTGTTTGTTGTTGTAGTTTTGTATTGTTTGTTCTAAAATCACACAATTCAGTCTTACTAGCTGGCTTCAATGCTATTTTCTATCAATAAACCCATGTTAGAGATATATATAAATTATATGAAAGTTCTAGCCCTTAAAATTGTTTGTTTGATATACATGTATATGTTGACAGCAATGAACAAACACTAAGACTTGTTTTTTTTTTCCTTTTTTTATCCAGGAATCTTTTCAAGAGAAGGTGACCAGTTACATAGAGCGCTATGCCAAGAGATGATGGAAAGGCCTAACTGTCATTTGTAGGAAATACAAAATACTAGTAATAGAGCAACATTTTTTTTAAAAGAGGGCTCTGTCTAGATCACGTATTGTATGCTTACAGTTGCAATATGTATTATTTATCATACTGTCATTAGCAATGTAACTGCTAATATAATAAATAAGCTCAATCCACTGTTTTCCCATCCCCAGGATGCATAGCACCAGGGGGTTTAAAATTCCCAGGATGCATAGCACCAGGGGGTTGATACATGACATACTGTTAAAATTATATGGCTTGTTTTTCTCTTTTTTTTCTAGTAAACATGGAACATGTGGTTTATAACATTACTTTGACTACAGTGGTAAAGTTTTACCGTCTCAATAAAAAAGAACAACTTTTGCTGGAAATAATTGAACAGATGTTGTATATTAATATTAAGGGAGCAACCTTCATTGTTTTAGACTCTACCAACAACGAATGTAAAAACACACATAATTCCAACCCCTGGCGCTATACAACCTAGGAATTTTTGCCTGCCTGGTGCTATGCATCTTGGGAATGGGAAAAGGGTGAATAAAAGCTTGGTGAGAGATGGCTCATTATATATCAAGGGGGGGTTTGTGTTAACTAAGTTAATGGACAACCCCCATGTCAACACAGACATTGCATGATAATCATATTATGCTAAATGTAATTGTTTTGTGTGAGCTAAAAAAGTACTTGTCGGAGAAACTCCTTGTTTTCATAATTCATTTTACTTTATTTTCTCTTTGTGGGTTTCAAGACTGAAAATGAATTTATTATTACATTAAAAATGGCTGTGGAATTCTGTTGTATTTATTTCCTTTTCATGTGGGTTTAAACAGATATACAATGAAGTCAAAGTATCAATGGGATTATCTTTCCCATGTAAAAGAAAGGTACACAAATTAAATATCCTTAGGCCACACCAATTTAATTTGTTGGTTCTCGGATTCGCCTCTTCATTTTTTTCTGATTTGAAAAAAAAAAAAATAAGATTCTGGTTCTGAATCAACTCAAAAATGCTCATATTTTGAGAAAAGTCCTTTTTCTTCCTAGTTGTTGCAGTGTTTCCATCTATCAAAATTCATTGTTATGGGTTCACCACACCACGAAGTGGTGGTGAACCCATATTGCTTTTTCTGATGTTTCTTCTCCTCCTTCTTCTTCTCCTGCCATTTTTTAAATGGATTCAGCTTCTTCATTTTAGAGCCTAAGGTCCTGAAATTTGGTATGGAGGTACAGTGGGCAAATACCCCTAGGCGTTTTTTAAATTTTTGTGATACAGGCTTTTAGAATGGTTTTATTTGAGTTTTTTGGCTGTGTTATAGCAAATGTATTACTGTGTTAGTGTGCCATGTTTACCACGTTTGGGTATGAGTCATCACAATGGAATGCAGGGCATCAACCAATAGGCATGCAGCTTTCCTCTATACTTCTTGCTGATTGGCTGTTGGGATTTAACTTGATCAACACCTGCACAGAGCATTTCCACCTGCACAGAGCATTTCTTGCTGATTGGCTGTTGGGATTTAACTTGATTAACACCTGCACAGAGCATTTCCATACTGACAGTATGTCTTTATTCAAGTGTTTTGGTAGGTATTTCAAGCTTTTCTGCTCCAGCATTGGAATGCGGGGCATGAACGTTTTTTTTTTTATTTTGAAAATCAACAGTTTGCATTATGCAATTAAAAATCCTAACCAGTAAAGTAGGGAATAGCTATCCAACTGTTGTTTTAGTTGTATGTTACTTCATATTATAGTTATATCAATGTAAATCATTGTTTTCCCTTGTGTTTCTCATTCTTTCCCTGCCATGTCGTAAAATGTGGTGAACCCATCGCTGTATTTGCTCCAAAGCAAATATTGGCCTTTCTAGTTTAAATATTAACACAACCTTTTGTGTTGACTTCATGGCTCCTATCATAGCATTTGCGACTATAATAGGATGCGTAAACCTGTTTTTATTTTTATTTTTTTTTCGCCCTGTCGCTTCATGTTTTTTCTGACAAAATCCGAGAACCAACAAATTAAATTGGTGTGGCCTTAAAAAGATTTCTACATAGTTTCTCAAAATTCATGAGCATTACAGATTCAACTTCACGACTATTGGCATAGGTTGCAGATAATGCAATAATTATTTTGTAAAGCAGTATTTTACTTCAAATCTTCCAGATAATGCTGTGACAGTTGAATTTGTTTTGTATCATACATGTGAAGTTATATTGGTATAATGCATGTAAGTTTTGAATACCTATTGTACTGGGTAAAAGGTGATGGCATATAGTATAGAATATATAGTACCAAAGTGTATGTTTGTATGGAAAAGGCTGAATTATTGAGTTAAAGTGTGAATTCTATACTACACATGGTGCCATTGTCTATGATGAGGACTACAATTATTGTGCATTATTAGAGACCCACAACAAACACTGCAATAAGTTGGTTAACATGCAGTTTAAATTGTATACACACAGTGGGATACATTATGGGTAATATGTCAAATTGTATCAAACATGGTATAAACAAGAACTGTTTACAAAGTTAGGGGCCTTCACCTTTGACCTCGCATGTCTCCTGTGAAGCAGCTTATTGCATCCATGTAGAAGAAAAATTTCTTTGAATAAAACAATTTTCTTTTGGTTTCTGTTCTGAAAAGTCATGTCTGTGCCTTGACAGTGGAAAAGTTGTCCATGTTAGAACTTACCTGCAATTGGCATGGAAATTTAGCCTGGGTATCAGGCTTAACAGCTGCAGTGTCTGATTCTTGGTGATTTTGTAGTGACTGAACAGGAGTCTGAACCTGAAAGCCTTTGTACCTAGTCTATAGTCTCAAATCATAAGCCTGATATTATGGTGTCTTTTTTTTACTCCGTTTGGCATTTCAAAACTGTGAGAAAACAAGCTGTGGATGTAGTGAAAAACTTAACCATTTCGAAAAGGCCATAGTAAGTGATCACAGGCATAGACATCCAATAGCTGAAACTGTATTATTACAGTATACAATGTAACTCCCCCTTCCCCCTTTTCAGGTTTGTATCTGGGAATGTTAGTTGGTTAGAATCACAGCAATGTGTATGTAATGTACATCAATACGTGCTGTCAGCAATGTCAAAAATAAAGTAGAGTCACTTTTTCCACCACGTCTTTTGTCGGTCTGTTATTAGAAGATTCTTCAAGCTACAACCTGTCCTTGGTACTGAAAAGTCGTTCGGGGGATGTCACACAAAGACAAGAAAAAAAAACAAAGGTATCCTTGATTAGTGGCATTCTCTTGGTGTCATGTCGACGAATGTCAAAGAATGTAGTTGCTCCAACTTAGTAAAAGATTGTACAGTAACTACACATTCTTCTTGTGTTTGAAATTGTCTTTCTGTGCTTCATCTACATGTAGTAGGAGACAACAATAACAAGACTTAGTTACTTCCTGTCCAGATCTTCAACCCACTTTTAAAATTGACTCCCTCTTCTTTGTTGTCTCAGTCAGAGAGTTGACCAGAAGGAAATATCGCCAACCAATAAACAAATAAATAAACACATAAAACTGGTGCAGCACAAACATTTTTACATGCATTGATTCTTTAATTGATGGTGTTGTCACTGGGTGTTGGAATTATTGACATCATTGATCAGTACATGTAAAATTACAAAATATTGTACTAAAGCATAGCATCGAGGTATTTCTTTACAAGCTTGAATAATATTGTCTGGGGTAGGATTGTATTCAATAATTCATGCACATCATTAAGTGCCATACTTTACTACTCTATGTAGTGCTACTCTATGTTGCTGTTTTTTTTTTCGCATGGCTGATGCTGTTGGTAGCGGGAAATTCTCATAACAGAAACTTTGTGAATTGCTTGGAGAACAATGTATATTTTGTACATAGTGTATTGTTTGTATTCATATGCTTAGTATAGACATGATTTTAACTCCATGGTATACACATTTTTCCATACATTTTTAGATCCATCAATACCACATTGCACTGGTACTGGTATCAACATTTTAAAGCATCTTAGAGTCACAAATGTTCCACCAAATAAACACAAAAACGTGATCTATGCCTTAGCTTATACAAATCACTTACTATAGATAGTCAAGTTAGTTTATACAAAGTTACTGATGTTTTTTAAGTTTTTCAATTCACTCGTTTCTCAAAACACTCTCCTTAGATCACAATGCTTGTATTTAGTGATATTCAGCTTGATACTAGAATACTTTGCTGTCCTACTCTATGCATGTGCTCTTCCTTTAGTCACTTGGCTAATATTATTAGTAGTTACGCCATGAAACTCTCATAACAAATCCTTGTGTATTGCTTCTAGAGCTATATTCATTCACATGCTTAGTATACACATTTACAGACTTAAAATTCAGATCCATAAATACCACATTGCAGGTCTCAACATTCTAAAACACTGTAATCACAATATTCCACTAAAGAGACAAAAACATGTGATTTACGCCTTAGATAGGCAACTTGGTTTATACAAAGTTTCCAATTTTTCTTAAAAAGTTGGTTAAGTTACTCATTTCTCCAAACAATCTCATTTGATCACACTGCTGGTATCCAGTAATATTTAATGTTTAATACTAGATGTAGAGAATTGTCTAGAATATTTTACTGTACTGCTCTGTGCATTTGCTCTTGCTTTAGTCGCTTGGCTGATGTTCTTGGTACATGTAGTTCTGCCAGAAAATTCTCATAACAAAACTTTGTGTATTGTTTGGGGAACTATTATGTTCATATGCTTGCACACTTTTACATACTTAAAATTCAGATCTATAAATACCACATTGCAGGTCTCAACATTTTACAGCATCATGCTACTCTGGGCACTTGCTCTTCCTTTGGGCGCTTGGCTAATGTTGTTTGTAGTACTGACAGAAAATTCTCATACCATATTGTTATAAACTAGATGGCTGCCTGTAGGTAAGGGAGGGTTAAGGGTCTATGGTAAGGTATCAATTATAATTGTCTGGTATACAGTGTGCAATTATTGTATCGCCTATACCAGACTTTTCCTGGGAGAAGTCGGTATGAAAACAACAAGAGATCAGGTCATGTGTTGTATTGTGGCATCGCGTGGCGTAATGGTCAGAGCGTTTGGCTCGGATCCAAGATGTCCCGGGTTTGATCCCTTGACATTCCTGATGCTGTGCCTTTGTGAAAGGTACGGGGGATTGACGGCACTGGGCCTTTTAGCTAACCGTTGACACTGTATTTAAACACTGATGAGGACATAGACAAAATTTGGCATTGCCAATGTGCCAAGATCTGCACATTTACCACTAAACACAGTACAATGTTGTTTTTTTTGTTAGATCAAAAGGCATCACGAGTTCGTCTAGGAAAAAGCATGGGCTCGTCAAGGGAATGAGGATGTTTGTGGGTTTGTGTGTCTTTTAGTGTGTGTTTCCGCGATTATCTTTTGGCACAACGCATACATTCTCAGGGATGAAAGTATGACAAAGCAGTCTGGGTAAGGGAGTGAAGTCTGCCATTCCCGATTGTGCTGTTTACTCTTAATGTAACGCCCTACTGGAAACATTGGTTCCTGTTGCAATAGGGATATGTACTAGTACTGTAAGTTGTTGTTGCTGCCGTTGTTGTTGAATCTATAGCTAAGGATTGAATTTAGAAGCTGTTGTTGAATCTAAGGATTGGGATTAGAAACTAGTGTCTTTTCCATCTCCATCTTAAGGGTTCGCCGAACGCCCGTCTTTATCCCTGTTCTCCTTCACATCAGCAAAAGTAGTCATGGGCATGTCTGTAGCAGAGTCGGTTCCACCTGCTGTTGCCTTGGTTTCATCAGCAGTGGTCTGCGGATTGCTGGCACTGGCGGTGCGTGTACTGTCCTGGTTAGCCTCACCCAGTTGACCGTGTGCCCTGTTATCCTCGACAACGGCAAAAGTTGTCATGGGTATCTCTATAGCAGAGCCGGTTGCACCTGCCGTTACCCCCTTCTTCCCTCTGGTGGTCCGTCCCATTGTAGTGGTGGTGGTTTGTCCATTGTCCTGATGAGCTTCAGCCAGACCAAAGCGTGCCATGATCGCAGACTTCCATTTCTTCAACACCTCCCCCGTCAATGTCATCAACACTGTCAGCAGCAGGCCCTGAGAAGCATTCAGCACAATGAAGATGTACTGGACAGCTGGGCTGTTGACGTAAGGGTAGATGAAGCCTAGAATCCAGGTGAATCCCATCATGAACGAGATGCGCACGTACACCCAGGCCTTGCTGATGTCTGAGCGAGACTTTGCAGCGTCGGCTATCTCGAACGCCTTTCGAATGGCCACTAAGACAAACGTGACCAAGACTACATTGACCAGAAGAGCACCGAGAACAGGGACCCCAAAAGCCACCAGACTGGCTGTTGGATTACCGATCCAACACTGCTCTCCATAACCCACCCTGACAGAACTGCCGAATTCCACAATCACTGTGGCAAGGACTACAGGCACCGGCACCAGCCAGGCATACAAGACGTACTTGTACAGTTCGGCCCTCTCTGTACTGTCACGAAAAGTAAGAAAGAGATCTACAGCTAGCGCGTTCATGGAGGAAAATGCCGTCAGCAGAAGGTAGTGCAGAAGTACCGCAAACGCTATACAGCCAGATCCTAGAGGGACGAACCCCCGTGCCACAAACAGGACTTCGGCAGCCGCCATGCATGTCATCATCTGCACCTTCAGCTTTTCCGAGACTTTTTTCCACTGGCCTGACCTGTAAGTGTGAACCACAAAACCAGTGACGGCTACGGCAGACGCTGACACAAGACCCAGAGTTAGCCAACCCTGGACAGCGTCCCTACTGCCGGTTGTTTGCCGGGAGAAATGTTGCAGTACGCACTCTCCGCAGATTGACGCTGTTGTGTTCAGAATGACCACCTGCCCAGCCGGGCAGGACACGTTAGAACTCAACAGGTGGACACTACCATTGGGAAGGACTCGGAACTCTTCAGATGTAAAAGTCAATGCGGGCTCGCTGCAGTTTAGTAAGGAGGCAGTTTTGTTTGACGAGCCATGGCTTTTGGGTGAGGACGAGAAAAGCCGGCATGTGCTTGCAAAGGGGTCGTATATGGCATCGGAGGGACACGGATTGAGACTGTTTTCACCACTTCCATCGGCATTAAAGTTGAACAGATTAGTCAGTGAGAATTTCTCGGCAAGCCCACGCTCGTCAACCGGCCAATCACTTTCACACCATAGATTTGTGATGGCCGTGAGGGAAAGACCTTCACAAAGAGCACAGTGTACATTTTTGTAAATCCTATATCCTATGGTTACTGGATTACTATAGGACCTACAAGCTGCGACATCACAAGTGTCACTGGAAATATCAGCCTGGAGACATCGTCTCGGGTTCAACGTAGGATCACGGTTTGGGTTAAGAGCTAGCCTGTTCGTCCCAAAGCAATCGCCACTATTAGTGATGTTGATGTACTCAAGGGAACCTCTGGGTGTGTGTGAAGACAAACTAAGAAGTCCAAAACATTTAACATTGTCTTCAGACTCCCAAAGGATTACGTCTGTGAAAGACACATTGTTGCAAACTGCACAGAATATGTTTCTATAGTGGACAGTCTTAGGGTAAAAATCTGTGTCTATCACAGGCATCCAGTAGACCAGGTCACTAGGGTTGAAGGGATCGACTGGTTTCAAACACTGATCCCTTATGACGTCGTCCGTCCATTGGTCAGGGCAGTCAGCAACCATCCAATAGGATAACGATCTAACTGTAGAAAAGCTAGGCACACACTTCCACTTCAGGTGGTGGTGGTCGAGCGTCGTTGAGCTGCGGCGGATGTAATAAAGTCTTCATGAATCACAATGATTCTCGTTGATGATAAGTTGACTCTAGTGATGCAAGGTGGGCCTTCTTGGAAAATCACCACGTATCTTTTTGTGATTCGATTTCCAGAAGGAAGGTCACCATCTGAAGCAGTTAAAACCTTTTATCCAACACGAAGAGTTAGAGCTTTCGACCAGTCACTCCTCATGGTTTTCCTCATCAGTACGAGCCTCACTGGTTCAGTCTACTGATGAGGAAGATCAGAGTGACTGGTCGAAAGCTCTAGGTAAGATAACTTTATGTTGTTGGATCAAAAGTTTTAGCTTTAAACATGTAACTACCAACACAGATGAACGTTCATGATAGGATTAAGATATCCATAGTTATTCTGAGTTAGCTGTTTTCCATTACGCCTGGGTCCCGAGTAGTGAAGGGCTGCCAGAAAGCTAAGTCAAACAATTAGGTATCTACTTACCCGAACTCGAAGCCTTTGCAACAGTCGCCGAAAAAGCTACAGTCTTCGTCACATTGACAAAATCGTCGATCATCAACTTCATGCGATTTAAAGAGGCAGGTATTGCTTTCCGAGCATGTCTTGTCGATGGCGTTCAGTGAGAAAGGATCTGGGAAATTAGATAGTAACTAGTGAATGACAGCCAATGCTTTTTCCTGCACTTTAATCATTTGGCTTCGAACGTTGTGATATCTTCTGTACATGTGCGCTAAGGTTTGCTCTAAGATCCTTCGACCAAAGAGGTGTTACTGTTTGGCCTTTTTCTTGACATCGTTTCACGATGCTTTGTATGTACCTTTAATTAGTTTTTTTACGTACCTTTAATTACCTTTATGGAAGCTTGTGCTGCACGCTACCACAGTCCCCGACCCTCCAGACAAGGATGAGACAAGGTGAAGGTGAATTAGTATATACATAACATGAATAGATCGCAGCAATATATTTGGCAAAGCGTTCCTTACCAGCACATTCCATCACGTCACAGTAGTCCCACCTCCGCGTCCCGTCCGTGGTGTAGCACCAGGGCCGCTCCTTGTTGTCAGGGTTACGGCAGAAGTTTTCCTCCAGCCCCGCATCAGGATGAGCCTGCGGTGTGTGGGGGTGGTTGTGGGGAGACTGGGAGTCCCATCTCTGGCACAGACGCCCCCCTGCCCTGTAGGTAGAGTGGGGCACTAGCCTTTGTTATACAACCTCTTGCCTTTATAGCTTATAGGACCCTTCCCCGACAGCGTGAGGCTCGAGAGAACCATTCCCAATGCATTCAAGAACTACCAATATGGGCTCGGCATTCGTTGTCACTATGGAAACCAGTCATTACAGTCTCCAGCACTAAGATGGGTGGCAGGCCTCGGTGTGACAAATTAATTGGCCATGACCATGTTAGCATATGTGCCTAAATCCGCAGGAATAAGACGTTCCAAATTCTCTAAAACAACGACAAAGTAAGAATTGTTTGTTTGGGCCTGTGTTCATTCGTAAAATACTGAAATTGCTGACCTATTCGTAAAATACTATCGTTCTAGATGCCTTTTTGCCTACCCGTAGACTTCTACCTCGAGTCTCATGTACAAAATATCTAATAGACTTAGCAAGAGACAAAGATGGATTAAACTGTACAGAGACATACACTGATTGGATCTGTCAATTGTAGTTTAGAGTTTATCTACTGCTAATTTATAGCCAAGAACAGTTATATTATATGTAGACGTTTGTAGGCCATGCATGTCAATGTTTTGATGTCGAGGATTTTCTAAACTTTGCAGCTAATGTTACCTGTTTATTTGTCCTGCGTAGCTCCTTCCCTTATCCATTGCATAGAAGCAACGCGTCGGTGGGGCTAAAAGTGGAAGGGGGGCAAATTCAAAATTTATTGGCAAATTTCACTCATACATAAAAGCTAATTTCAAGGGAAGATACGAATGTATCTCTAAGATGGAGTGTGCTAAATCTTTTGAGCAATCTGAAAGAAAGGTTAACAGCATTGAGCGTTATCTTAAAAGTTCCTTATGAAGCAAGAAATTGGAATTACAGTCAAACCTGTCCAAGCCGGCCACCCATGGGGACCAAAGAAAAGTGGTCACCTTAGACAGGTGGTCTCCTTAAAGAGGGTCGCCTCACAACATGACTGAGACATAAAACGGTTTCCAAGTCGACTGTACAACTTCAGTCTTTGTCAATGAATAAGTAATTCACCGCTTTCGTGACGTCACGTTATGCATGTATTACACGTGTCTCGGTGAGCTGTGGATCGTAAGTTGTAGAAAGTCTGTGGCGTCCTCCGTCTTTTTTGAATGTGGTATTTAAGAGGCCATCTATATCAGGGCACTACAATCATTCCTCATCAAGGACAGGAGAGCCACAGACTGCAACTGCATCGTGTCACGTGTGTTATTACGTGTGACTTATTTGGGTAGTTCCAATTTCTTGTGATGGAAATTACAATATAAACGTGCTTCATAATAGCATTGAGCGTGTGTCACCACAAAATAAACTTTTTGAGGTTACCATCACAGGCGAAGACATCGTCGCAGTACCTCCACCTGACGAGCGGGTTGTTGGTGTAGCACCACGGTCTGTCCTTCCCGTCCGGGTTCCTACAGTAGTTCCACTCCAGTCCTGCTGACGGATAGGCCTCGGGAGTGTGGTTATGGGCGTGGGGGTACTGAGATGTCCAGAACTGACAGGATCTGTCCCTGTTTGCTAGGCCCCTGTAACTTGCCCCTCTGTCCCGTAGGTGGTAACAGTCTGTGTACATATAAAGTTACATCGTTAATGCTATGCACGAAACGGACCGTTGCATATTTACCGGTAGGCACAAAATATTGGAATAGATTAATTGCGGTGTTTCTAGATCTAACTTTGAACTCCCAAATAAACGGTACGCTAATCCTGGGGCAGCTAAGCGAACTGCCAGACATAGCTTGAAAAGAACATAGGACAATGTTCTCGTCTGACATCGTTAGTACCCACTATTCACTTTGTGGTAAATGATGTTGTGGTGTAATCAGTGACATGTAAGAAGAACTCACCGCAGTTCTTCTCATCACTGTTGTCTCCACAGTCATCTTTGCCGTCACAGCGAGTGGCCCAATGGAACAGGGCCCCATTGTCACAGGCGGAAGGAGCTAGAGAATAGAAGGGAAATCGTTGGACCAATCAGAAAAGGCGATGCCTCAGGGGCAAACCTAACTGTACATCAAAAGTAGTAGAATTTTATGAGTATGTACAGCCAATGTACTCACGACAAGACTCGTCGCTGCCATCGCTACAATCTTCTATATCGTCACATGTAGAATATTTTGTTAGTTGCTCTTCTGCGCCGTGACAGGGAATGTGGTCCAAAATTCCAAGATCACTGTAACATCCTTTTCGGGAATTTATACACTGTCCATTGTTGCAAGATATCTCGCCCTGTCGCTCGCCTGCATAAAACATAAGTGAAACATCATATCTACATTGTGCCAGGTCATACGGCGTCAGCTTATTTTATACTTTGAAACAATAAAAGGAAATTATGCACATCTAATACTTACAGCAGTTCTCTTCGTCCGAGTTGTCTCCACAATCGTCTGTACCGTCACACACTCGTGTCGTGCTGATGGTGGTTCCATTTAGGCACCTCTCCTCATCTGTAGTGAAGAAGAAAGAGAGTCGGAAGAGTTAGTGTCAATATATGCACACAGGTCGATGAGCATGTGCAACTGAAAGACATACGATGAAGCCATAATAATCTGACAATCTTTATTACACAAAGTCTTCTGGACTGTGCTATTGTTTTTGTTTTTCCCTTTCGATAGGATATGTGCAGGCTTCAGTTCAACCCTGCTAACCCCCCTCCTTGTTCGTGCCTTACCACAGTTGTTTTCATCGCTCCCATCGTCACAGTCGACTATGCCGTCACAGATCACCTCATGCACGTCACAGTCTCCGTCTGTGCAGACCGTCCTCTCAACTTGGGAGCAAGCTGCACGGATATAACAAAATATGTACAGGTCTATTTACAAGAGACGATCGTTGCTGACAACGTGGTGGCAACAATTGCAGCAAAAAGTCGCTATACAGTCATGTAGTAGTGATCACTTACCCTGAAAAAACCTGATCTCGCTGATTTCGATGATTTCTGCCTGATTCTCACGCGGGAAATGTAGGCGCCAAAGCTGGGCTCTGGGGCTGAGGAGTCCATTTAGATCAATTTCGTTAAGTGAGACCCCTTTTGTGTTGGGGTTGTCACTTAGATCGATTCCGTTTAGAGGTGACAGAACCCTGTTTTGTTGACCCCAATTGTGATCCACTTCGGCCCAACTTCGCCCAGTCGAGCGTAGGACTGTGACGTCGACGCTGCTGCCCTTGTACCATATATGGATCCTGGAGAGCGTCATGGGCGCCTGCAGATCAAACGTCAGCCACCAGGAGGCCTCCTCATCTCCAGGTCTCCATGTCGTCTTGAAGTTGGCGTCCAGGACGTAGCCGGCAACCCGCCGGATGCCGTCCTCGCCCTCCCATTCGCCCGGTGTCACCCATGTAGGGTCGGTCTCCACCCAACCGCCTGCCAGAAACAAAGTTTCATTAATATTTCACGGAGGTATCTACGAAGCCGTCATTTTCGTTCCAGTTCTGGTCAACTCGAGACAAAAAGACAAGAAAAAAGTTCCCAACATTTATAAGTGGGTGGAACATCTGGACGTACTGGATCAAACTGCTGTTTCCTACCGGATGATGCATAGAAATACCATTTTGAACGAGAATGTGCAGTACAGTTCATCGCACAAGTTGGAGCAACTAAATACTTTTGTAGACAACATATGCAAAGAGAATGCTAGTAATTACCCTGAATTGGCACGCTTCCTATCGGTACCAGTCCGGAGAGACTAAGCTCCAGAACTCGTAAATTCAGGTATGTCCAGATCTGCGCTAACGTATCTCAACAATGCCGCACGCCACTGTGCCAGGTAGGCCCATGCACAGGGTACCATCGACACTTCCCCCCGACAAGCCAAACATGGCGCCCGGCTTGCTTCTGTTTGTATGTCTGTTTGTTGTCCATCGGCCATGCCAGCGTTGCCATGACCGGCACTGACGATAAGTCTCTCACATTTCAGTCTCCAATGTACACTCTTGGGCCGACTATAGTACTAAAACTTAATGACCGTCACGTAACTGTAAAACTGTGCTTCTTGGCAATGTAAGGAGGCTGTGCCTAGATAAGTAACAACTACACCATGCTCCTTTTGACACGTACTTAGAATATCTGGGTGTTTGGCAGGATCTGTGCCTGACTTGGAGCACACACATTGATGAACTTTAAAACTTAGCAAAGCTGGGATCAGTGTGGATCCTTCTTCCCCAAGGGATACGACAAATGCGATCAACAAATACTTTACGTTAGCCTCACATTACACATTAATCCTCCTCTTTAAAGCTCGAAGACTTGCTTCCATGCCTACGAACTCCAGGCCAACCCCGGAAGGGACAGTCTGGCAAATATACCACCTACCACGAAACTCCTGCAAGGGAGCCAAGTTAGCTGGGCGGTGGGGAACTACTACAGAAACCGAAAGACCCCACCCAAGTCGCGATAAACTGGACACCAGGCCGACGAACCACCGATGTTATTAAACTCTCTTGGGCATTATGACTACAGTAGTCCCCAAGTTGACATAACTAGTTGCTCACCTGTTAGTGCAAATGCACCTGGGAGGCAATAGCACAGACCCCACAACACCGCCAGTGTTGTTCCGGTGGTCGACAGGTTTCCCATTTTGATGCTGACTCGTGTTCTTTCCTACACCGCCGCTAATGTAGACTGCCGCTCAAAACTTCGCCGAGCAAAATTGACACTAGCGTGCGCTGACAAATTCTCCTATCAACTGGCACGTCATTAGAAAATGGTAGCCCCCGAAGCAGGCCTTTCAATGGCATTTTAGTATTGCTGAATAACCCTGTTTTAACGACTCACACCTTCATTTGCCACCGGTGCACCCGCCTTAATCTAGGCTAGGCGATGGGCATTCTTATTCGCAGATTCAGGTACCACGTGGTAACTACCAGACCTCATCAAATATTTGGTAAGTTTGATGCTTTTTACAGCCTCACCTGTAGGAAATTAGATGGTTATTGTTTTAATTGCGCATGCGCGATATCAAAGGTGAAGGACCCAAACGGTCACATAGTTCTTGTCTACACAATACCTTCAGCTTTGACATATTAACCACAAATTTGACACATTGTCTATTTGTGAACTTCGTGAAATCTTTATTTACTGTCGCATTTGCTGGTGGAGGGTCACTCATATTTTTCTTCCAGGTCAGGTTAACTAGAGAAAAAAAAATGCCCAACATTTCTAGGTGGGTGGAACAGCTGGACACTTAGTCCAACTTTGTCGTCTACTTGCACAGAAACACTATTTCAAACACAACGAGAATGTGCAGAACCATTCGTTGCAGAAGTGAAAACAAATAGACATTTTTCTCTAGAACATTCGAACCCAAGAGAATGTTAGTAATCAAGGATACCTTCCTCTGAATTGTCACGCATTCTGCTGACTTGGTACCAGTCTGATCGCGGAGAGACTAAGCTCCGCCCAGTCGTAAATTCAGGCATGTTCAGGCCTGTTCTGGCGGACACAAACACTGTTTAATTTGTCTGGTGTCGCACACCGCTGCGCCAGGTAGACACAGCACACGACATCGACATTGTCTTACGCGACAAGCACGAAACATGGCGACCGGCCTGCTTCTGTTTGTATGCCTGTTGTCCATCGGCCATGTCAACGCTGGCATTGCCGGCACTGACGATGAGTGTCCGCCTGACAATTTCAGGTGTGAAGGTAGAGAAGAATGTTTCCACTCTTCGTACCAATGTAACGGTAACGAGGAATGTGGGGACGGTTCAGATGAGGAGGATTGCTTGAGCAAAGAGTGTTTCTTTCCCGATGCTTTCAAGTGTGAAAGTAGCGGAATCTGTGTGCGTCCAGCTGAGAAACAATGTGACGGTTACAATAATTGTCCGGACGGTTCAGATGAGGAAGATTGCTTGAGCAAAGAGTGTTCAAACGCCGACTATTTTAAGTGCGAAAGTAACGGATTATGTTACAGTCCAGGTTTCATATGTGACGGCAATGAAGATTGTCCAGACGGTTCAGATGAGGAAGATTGCTTGAGCAAAGAGTGTTTCTATTCCGACTATTTCAAGTGCGAAAGTAGTGGAATCTGTGTCTATCCAGAGCTCCATTGTAACGGTAACGTTGATTGTCCAGACGGTTCAGACGAGGATTGCCAAGAATGTCCCAACCCTGACCATTTCATGTGTGAAAGTAGTGGGGAGTGCGTCCTTTCATGTGACGGTAACAAAGATTGTGAAGACGGTTCAGATGAGGAAGATTGCTGGAGCCAAGAGTGTGCCTTACCCAGCTATCTCAGATGTGAAGATAGTGGAATCTGTTTCCGTCCAAACTACCAATGTGACAATTACAAGTACTGTCCAGACGGTACAGATGAGAAAGATTGTTGGAGCAAAGAGTGTATTTTCAGCGACTTTCTCAGGTGTGACACTGGGTCCTGTTACTCTCCAGAAAAACTATGTGACGGTGAGGTGAACTGTCTAGTAGACGGTTCAGACGAGAGATTTTGCACACAGGATGACTGCCCCTTGCCCAACATTTTCTGTGGACCCGGTTCCTGCATCAATGAGACGAGGCGCTGCGATGGAGTCGCCGACTGTCACGACCAGTCCGACGAGAGTGGCTGTGGTAAGCTCACGTTCTGCTAATTCTAATCATACAAAACTTGGGGAGGGGATACATTGTACGTTAGGCAAGTGGCTTGACATTGTTGAAAGATCTAGTGTCGTACACACAGTGCTGTCTAGGCCCAGCACACGGGGTGAAGCACAGAAACACTATTTCAAACACAACGAGAATGTGTAATACATTTCAGTGCAGCTAGAATTCAGTGAAAACAACTAAATACTTTGCGCGACAACATTTGACCCTAAAAGAATGCTGGTAATCGATATCAATGATACCTTCCCCTAAATTGTCACGCACCCTGCGAGTTGGTACCAGTCAGATCGCGGAGAGACTAAGCTCCGCCCACTCGTAAATTCAGGCATGTTCAGGCCTGTTCTGGCGCACACAAACACTATTTAATTTGTCTGGTGTCGCACACCGCTGCGCCAGGTAGACCCAGCACACGACACCGACATTGTCTTACGCGACAAGCACGAATCATGGCGACCGGCTTGCTTCTGTTTGTATGCCTGTTGTCCATCGGCCATGTCCCCGCTGGCATTGCCGGCACTGACGATGAGTGTCCGCCTGACAATTTCAGGTGTGAAGGTAGCGGAGAATGTTTCCACTCTTCGTTCCAATGTAACGGTTACGAGGACTGTGGGGACAGTTCAGATGAGGAAGATTGTTGGAGCAAAGAGTGTCCCAATCCCGACGATTTTAGGTGTGAAAGTAGCGGAGCGTGTCTCTTTTACTTAAATCATTGTGATGGTGACGTTCATTGTCCCGATGGTTCAGACGAGAATGGTTGCCGGGACAAACCGTGTCCCTTCTTCGGCGACGTCAGGTGTGAAGGTAGTATAGCATGTATCCAGATTGTGTCCCAATGTGACGGTAAGGTTGATTGTCCAGGCGGTACAGATGAGGAAAATTGCTTGATGAAAGCGTGTCCCGATGATAGATATATCAAGTGTGAAGATAGTGGAATTTGTGTCAATCCATGGCTGCAATGTGACGGTAACAATGATAGCACAGACGGCTCAGATGAGAAAGACTGCAAAGAATTCGAATGTCCCTTCTCCGATCAGTTCAAGTGCGAAAGTAACGGAGAATGTGTAAATCGAGGGCTCCTATGTGACGCTGTGCGTGATTGTCCGGACGGGTCAGACGAGAGCTGCCAAGAGTGTCCCAACGCCGACGATTTCAAGTGTGAAAGTGGCACGAAGTGTGTGCGTTCATCTGATCAATGTGACGGTGTCGTCGAATGTCCAGACGGTTCAGACGAGGAAGACTGCTTGAGCAAAGAGTGCCGCAACCTCGACGATTTTAGGTGCGAAAGTAACGGAGTGTGCATCAATAAATTGCTCCAATGTAACGCTGAGCTTGATTGTCCAGACGGGACCGATGAGGAAGACTGCTTGAGCAAAGAGTGCCTCAACCCCGACGACTTCAGGTGCGAAAGTAACGGAGTGTGCATCAATAAATTGCTCCAATGTAACGCTGAGCTTGATTGTCCAGACGGGACCGATGAGGAAGACTGCTTGAACAAAGATTGTCCCCTCCCGGACGATTTTAAGTGCGAAAGTACACCACTATGTGTCCGTCAATCGCTTCTATGTAACTATGGGCGTGACTGTCCAGACGGTTCAGACGAGGAAAATTGCTGGCACTTACAATGCCCCAACTCCGCGTATATGAGGTGTGAAGATAGTGGAATCTGTGTCCATCAAACATACATTTGTGACGATGACAATGACTGTACAGACGGTACAGATGAGAAAGATTGTAGGAGCAAAGAGTGTGTTTTCAGCGACTTTCTTAAGTGTGACACTGGGTCCTGTTACCATCCAGAAAAACAATGTGACGGTCACGTGGACTGTACAGTAGACGGTTCAGACGAGAGATTTTGCACACCGGATGACTGCCCCTTGCCCAACATTTTCTGTGGACCCGGTTCCTGCATCAATGAGACGAAGCGCTGCGATGGAGTCGCCGACTGTCACGACCAGTCCGACGAGAGTGACTGTGGTAAGCTCACGTTCTGCTAATTCTAATCACATAAAACTTGGGGAAGGGGATACATTGTACGTTAGGCAAGTGGCTTGACATTGTTGAAAGATCTAGTGTCGTATATACACAGTGCTAGGTGGGCTCAACACACGGGGTGCTACTAGGTGTTCTTCTTCTTGATGAAGAACAGAAACGCTATTTCAAACACAATGATAATGCAGAAGTAAAAAAAACCTAAATACTTTGCTCCACAACCTTTAATCTCAAGAGAATGCTGGTAATCAAGGATGCTTTCCCCTGAATTGTCACGCATCCTGCTGTCTGATCGCGGGGAGACTACGCTCCGATCACTCGTAAATTCAGGCACGTTCAGGCATGTTCTGGCGGACACAAACACTTTGGGTTTAATTTTGTCGCACACCGCTGTGCCAGGTAGGCCCATACATCGACATTTCCTACGACAAGCCAATCATGGCGACCGGCTTGCTTCTGTTTGTCTGCCTGTTTTCCATCAGCCATGTCTTCGTTGGTGTTACCGGCACTGACGACGAGTGTCTGCCTGACATGTTTAGGTGTGAAGCCGGTGAAGAATGTTTCCACTCTTTGTTCCAATGTGACGGTGACAATAATTGTCCAGACGGTTCAGATGAGGAAGATTGCTTGAGCAAAGTGTGTTTCTTTCCCGACGATTTCAAGTGTGAAAGTAGTGGAATCTGTGTCGGTCCATGGCTCCAATGTAACGGTAACAATAATTGTTTGGACGGTTCAGATGAGAAAGATTGCTGGAGCAAAGACTGTCCCGATCCTGATGATTTCAGGTGTGCAGGTAGTGGAAGGTGTCTCACCCGCTTTAGGCAATGTGACGGTAATGTGGATTGTCCAGACGGTTCAGACGAGGGTTGCCGAGAATGTCCCTACCATGACGATTTCAAGTGTGAAAGTGGTGAGAAGTGTGTCCGTTCATCTGATCAATGTGACGGTGACGAGGATTGTGGAGACGGTTCAGACGACCCAGAAGATTGCTGGAGCCAAGAGGAAGGTTACCCGACTATATCAAGTGTGATGGTATTGAGATCTGTGTTCCTCCACCATACCAATGTGACGGTTACAATTTCTGTCCAGACGGTAAAGATGAAACAGATTGCTGGAGCAAAGAGTGTTTCAACAGCACCTTTCTCAGGTGTGACAGCGGATCCTGTTACCCCTCAGAAAAACATTGTGACGGTATCGTGGACTGTCCAGTAGACGATTTAGATGAGAGATTTTGCACACAGGATGACTGCCCTTTGCCCAACCTTTTCGAATTCTGTGGACCCGGTTCCTGCATCAATGAGAAGCAACGCTGCGATGGAGTTGCCGACTGTCACGACCAGTCCGACGAGAGTGGCTGTGGTAAGATCACGTTCTGCTTATTCTAATCACACAAAACTTAGCAGGAAAACTTTGAAAAGATAAGCAAGTGCCCGTGGCTTGACATTGTTGAAAGATCTAGTGTCGCAAACACTGTGCTATCTGGGCCGAGCACACGGGGTGCTGCTAGATTTTCTTCTACTTGATGAAGCATAGAAACACTACTAGTATTTCAAACACAACGAGAATGTGTATATGTAGTGCCATTCATTGCAGAAGTTAAAACAACTAGATACTTTGCTCGACAACATTTGAGCCCAAAAGAATGCTGCTAATCAAGGATACCTTCTCCCGAATTGTCACGCACCCTGCGAGTTGGTACCAGTCAGATCGCGGAGATACTAAGCTCCGCCCACCCGTAAATTCAGGCATGTTCAGGCCTGTTCTGGCGCACCCAAACACTGTTTAATTTTGTCTGGTATCGCACGCCACTGTGCCAGGTAGGCCCATACACGGGGTGCCATCGACATTTCCCCCCGACAAGCCAATCATGGCGACTTGCTTGTTTCTGTTTGTAAACCTGTGTAAACCATGTAAACCATATACGCTGGCATTGCCGGTACTGACGATGGGTGTCCCTCACATTGAAGGTGTGAAAGTAGTGGAGAATGTCTCCACTTTTTACTCCAATGTGATAACCGACTAACACTTATATCAATGTCCGTAAGTGGAAAACTGTCTCCTTGGTTTTTCACATGTTGAAAAAAACATTGGCTTCAGGTCGGAAATCTCAGACATCGTATTGATAAATGCACCTCATGCAAACTGTCTATAAGATAATTCATCAGTTCCGGAATATTTACATGTATTCAGTACAAAAGGTCAGCGGCTAGTGTTTTTAACTTATGACTACAACTACGTACAGCTAGATATCTCTGTCATTAAAGTAATATGCCTTGCATATTAAGGATGATAACAATATTCAAAGAAATCTAAGTTTTTCGAACTTATATTGAGAAATATTGATTTATTGAAGATTCAAAACGATTTGATCTTAGCTATTGAAAAAAATTGATACAATAAATCTAGAAAGAATAGTAAGAAATCTTCCTAACACTTTGAAAGGTATGATTGAACTGGAAAAGGTTGATAAAATGGATCAAAAATTTATGTATAAAATTACAGCAATGAAAATAAAAGGTTTATGTTCATTTGATCTTAAGACTTAAATATTGAACATTATTGACTCAATAGATCGGTACACGTATGTAAGATTATAAGACATTATTGTCAAGCATAGCTTTGAGAATTTCTTTAACAATTTGAATAGTAATATCTGGGGTAAGATTATATTCAATGATTTATGGACATCATTAAGTGCCATGCACTAAAACTCTATGCACCTGCTCTTCCACTAGTCACTTAGCTAACGTTCTTCGTAGTTCTGACAGAAAATTTGTGCATTTCCTGGGGAGCTATTATGTGTATGTAAATGCTTCCACACTTATACGTACTTAAAATTCAGGTCCATCAATACCAAATTGCAGGTATCAACATTTTAAAGCATACTAATAGACTAAAAGTCACACTAATAGACATAACGTGTGATGCACGTCTTAGCTTATACAAATCACCTAGGTATAGGTAAAGTCAGTTTATACAAATTAACCGATGTTTTTGTAAGTTGGTTAATTCGTTAGTTTCCCCACACAGTATCCCTACATCTCATTGCTAGTATCCCGTAATGTTTACTGCTTAATGCTCGTCTTTATCCCCGGTGTCATTCACTTGAGCGAAAGTAGTCATGGGTATGTCTGTAGCAGAGTCGGTTCCACTTACCATTGCCTCATCTGCGTTTGCCTGCTCATTGTTGGCGGTTGGGGCACTGTCCTGGTGAGCCTCCCCGAGCGCCCTGTCCTCCTCCAAAGCGGCCAAAGTTGTCATGGGTATCTCTCTAGCTGAGCCGGTTCCACCTGCCGTTAGCTCAGTCTTCGCTGCGGTTGACCGTCGGATGGTAGTGGTGGTTCGTCTATTGTCCTGATGAGCTTCAGCCAGACCAAAACGTGCCTGGATCGCAGACTTCCATTTCTTCAACACCTCCCCCGTCAATGTCATCAACACTGTCAGCAGCAGGCCCTGAGAAGCATTCAGCACAATGAAGATGTACTGGACAGCTGGGCTGTTGACGTAAGGGTAGATGTAGCCTAGAATCCAAGTGAATCCCATCATGAACGAGATACGCACGTACACCCAGGCCTTGCTGATGTCTGAGCGAGCCTTTGCAGCGTGGCCTATCTGAAATGACTTCCGAATGGCCAGCAATACATAAGTGACCAAGACTACATTGACCAGAAGGGCACAGAGGACAGGGATCCCAAAAGCCACCAGACTGGCTGTAGGATTGCCTATCCAACAGTTTTCCCCGTACCCCACCCTAACAGAACTGCCGAATTCCACAATCACCGTAGCAAGGACTACAGGTACCGGCACCAGCCATGTATACAAGATGTGCTTGTACAGTTTGACTCTCTCTGCATCCTGACGAAATGTAAGAAAGAGATCCACAGCTAGTGCGTTCATGGCTGAAAAGGCGGTTAGTAGAAGGTAGTGCAGAAGTACCGCCAGCGCTGTACAGCCCCGTCCGACAGGGACGAACCCCCGTGCCACAAACAGGACTTCAGCAGTCGCCATGCATGCCATCATCTGCACCTTCAGCTTTTCCGAGAGCTTTTTCCACTGGTCAGATTTGTACGTGTAGTACACGAAACCGACCACAGCTACGGCAGACGCTGACACAAGACCCAGAGTTAGCCAACCCTGGACAGCGTCCCTACTGCTGTCTGTTTGCGTGTTGTTGAAGAAATGTTGCAGGACGCACTCACCACAAACTGACGCTGTTGTGTTCAGTATTTCCACCTGACCAGCCGGACAGGACACGTTAGAACTCAACAGGTGGACACTACCATTGGGAAGGACATGGAACTCTTCAGATGTAAATGTCAATGCAGGTTCGGTGCAGTTCAGCAATGACGCAGTTTCATTTGATGAACCATACACATGACTTCCTTGTGAGGACGAGAAAAGCCGGCATGTGTCTGCAAAGGGGTCGTATATGGCATCGGAGGGACACGGATTGAGACTGTCTTCACCACTTCCATCGGCATTAAAGTTGAACAGATTAGTCAGTGAGAATTTCTCGGGACAAAACAATCCAACGCAAGTAGAACGTTGACCAGACCAACCTTTCATGCACCATAGATTTGTGGTTGCCGTGAGGGAAAGACCTTCACAAAGAGCACATTGTGCATTTTTGTAAATCCTATATCCTATGGTTACTGGATCACTATAGGACCTACAAGCTGCGACATCACAAGTGTCACCAGAAAGATCAACCTGGAGACATCGTCTGGGGTTGGATGTAGGAACAGGGTCAGGGGTAAGCGCTAGCCTGTTCGTCCCAAAGCAATCGCCACCATTAGTGATGTTGATGTACTCCAGTGAACCTCTGGGCGTGTGTGAAGACATATTAAGAAGTCCAAAACATTTAACATTGTCTTTGGTCTCCCAAAGGATTATGTCTGCTAAAGACACATTGTTACAAATTGCACAGAATATGTTTCTATAGTGGACAGTCTTAGGGAGAAAACCTGTGTCTATCACAGGCATCCAGTAGACCAGGTCACTAGGGTTGAAGGGATCGACTGGTTTCAAACACTGATCCTTTATGACGTCGTCCGTCCATTGGTCAGGGCAGTCAGCAACCATCCAATAGGATAGCGATCTAACTGTGGAAAAGCTAGGCACACACCTCCATTTCAGATGGTGGTGGGCAGGCGATGGTTGAGTTGTGCTGCTTTCTCTGAAGTGGGTGTAATGAAGTCGTTAAAAGTCACGATGTTTCTAGTTGCGGTAAACTATAATGATGTCAAATGTAAGGTAAGCCTTTTTGCTAACATTACTACGTATCTTTTTCTTATCAGTCTTGTCAGTCCAATAGGAGCTAAGGATTATTTGTCATCATGGAAACCAGTCATACTAGCCTCTTACACCACAGGTTACGAACAACTGTGACTTGGTCCATTGGTAGCTCATACACTGTACATGAATGCAAATAAGAGGACTAGGATGTCCCTAATCATCCTAACTTTGGTGTCGGCCATCACTTCTAGAGCCCTGACTAGTAGAAGGCTGCTAGAAGCTAGAGTCGGTCAGACTAGTAAAGATCTACTTACTCGAACTCGAAGCCTTTGCAGCAGTCGCCGAAGAAACCACAGTCGTTGTCACATTGACAAAAATCTTCGTTCTCCTCAGATGGCGTTTGGACAAGGGCGCATTTATTTGGTATCGGGCATTGGTCGTCGATGGAGTTCATTGAAAATGGATCTGAGAAAGGCGAATGAGAGAGAGCAACGAATGAACGGCTTTTGTTGGAGCAGACATGTCCAGTGCTTTCGCCTGCATTTCGAACCTTTGGTTTGGAACGTTGTGATGCTTTCTATGATCTAATTTATCTAACATCCTTTGATTTATGTTTAGCCTTGACAGAAATAATCACAGCCATTAACGTTGTGTTTTTGAATTAATATCTGAGTAAGAGGAATAGATAACAACAAAAGATTTTCGAAAGCATTTCTTACCAGCACATTCCATGACATTGCAGTAGTCCCACCTCCGCGTCCCGTCCGTGGTGTAGCACCAGGGCCGCTCCTTGTTGTCAGGGTTACGGCAGAAGTTTTCCTCCAGCCCCGCATCAGGATGAGCCTGTGGTGTGTGGGTATGGCTGTGGGGGGACTGGGAGTCCCATCTCTGACACAGCCGGGCTCCAGCCCTGTAGGTAGAGTGGGGAAAGCATAACACCAGCCTATGTTATACTATCTTGTACTCTTAGGGCTGATTGGACCCCTCCCTGGCAGCGTGCGGTCATACATTTATGCGTAAGTGCATTTATGGCTCAATAGAACCAAGGACATTATACAGAGAACTAATGTCCTTGATAGAACCATGCCCAATTCAAGAACTACCAATAAAAGCCGTGTCGTTATTACTACTCAAAATTACTGGCGGTTCAATAGTGTAAGCCGTCATTCTGGATGTCTTTTTGTCTACCTGTAGACATTTTAGGCCATGCATGTCATCAATTTCCTGATGTCAATGATTTAGAGGTCTCTAAACGTTCCAGTTAATCTTACCTGTTTACTCGTCCTGCGTAGCTCCTTCCCTTATCAATTGCGTAGAAGCACTGTGTTGGTGGAGCTGAAAATGGAAACAAAGATGCGAATATGAAAGATCTTAATTAATGTCTATATCATTCAGGGCAAATACTAGTATGTAGGATGACAGAATACACATGCTTTATCTACAGGAGCTCCTTATATAATGAACTAGCTAAAGGAATGACAAACAGCTTTGAGTAACAATAAAAGTTACCATCACAGGCGAAGACATCGTCGCAGTACCTCCACCTGACTAGCGGGTTGTTGGTGTAGCACCACGGCCTGTCCTTCCCGTCCGGGTTCCTACAGTAGTTCCGCTCCAGCCCTGCTGACGGGTAGGCCTCGGGCGTGTGGTTATGGGCGTGGGGGTACTGAGATGTCCAGAACTGACAGGAACTGTCCCGGCTGGCTAGGCCCCTGTAGCTTGCCCCTTTGTCCCGTAGGTAGTAACAGTCTGTGGACATAAAACGTTAAATCGTTAAAGTTGCACACGATTGTCACGAGAGGTGCTTGTGAAATTCCAGCTGTAGCATGTTTACGGGTAGGTCCAAACAATCTGGAATAGGTTGACTGATAGCCTGATTAAAAAAAAAACATAGGATGGAAAAGATTATTTCAAGCCACCGTCGGTCTTCTTTGGCTAACTCTAAGGATCCCTTCCACGCAGAGCATTCTGCAGCAAAGATACTGTAACAGTGTTGTCACATGTCATCGTTAGTGGACACTGTACCCTTCCTGATAAATCAAAGTAGCTAAACCTACTTTGATGGGTTGTTATTAATTACTCTGTATTGAGAACTCACCGCAGTTCTTCTCATCACTGTTGTCTCCACAGTCATCTTTGCCGTCACACCGAGTGGCCGAATGGAACAGGGCCCCATTGTCACAGGCAGAAGGAGCTGGGGGATAGAGAGCTGGTCAGAAAATAGTCTGATTGTTATTGGGTTAGCCAACTAGTCTCTCTTTGCCGCCAGGGCCTTTATTGCGAGAAACTTACAATTGGCGGGCCTGAATCGCACGGGTCTGTAATGGCAGCCTTTTAGCGCTCAATAAAACGGTCCCGTTCCACTCTATGCGAAGCATATGGTGGTGCCCATCTCTATTTCTGTAGCCCTTGAACAGCTTGTATATGAGTATCATAATACAAAACCAACGTCTAGCAAGTTATACAAGCAACAGCATATGTACAGCCATGTTTAAAGTTCAAAGTATCTACAGTCAAAGGTATCTGGTAGACAGGATGGGAATTATTCTTTAAATGAAGGCATGGAGGTTATACCTCCATGATGAAGGGTGGTGGGCCCTGACCCAGTGTTGACGTCACACTTCAAAGAAGCCACGTGACAAGTCTCACTGGGTCAGGCTACTGAAGAAGACCAGAGTGACTGGTCGAAAGCTCTAGGTGAGAGAAATTTTGTGATGGATCAAAAGTTTTAACTTTAAACCTGTAACTACATGTACCAACACAGATTAACTTTTACGATGGTATGTTTAGCCAGTCACGAGTATACTCACGACAAGACTCGTCGCTGCCATCGCTACAGTCTTCAATATCGTCACATGTAGAATATCGTGACATTTGATATTCGCCCTGACAGGGAATGTGGCTCAAGGTTGTATCGCATCCTTTTTGGGAATGTATACACTGTCCATTGCTGCATGATGTCTTGTCCTGGCGCTCGCCTGCATAAAACATATTAAGTAGAAACATCATAACTACATATTTGTAGATATTACAGATCCTTACACAATCTTCTATTTTGAAAAAAAAAAGATTTGTGGATCGAAACGCATCGGAACAAATAACGACATATTGTAAGAAAACAATGCATATCAAGTTTTTGTGTCCAAACTTACAGCAGTGTTGTTCGTCTGAGTTGTCTCCGCAGTCGTCTGTACCGTCACAGACTTGTGTCTCCCTGATG